TGAGGTATGTTTTGTTGTTTTTTCCAGTTAGAGAAATGAATGCAATATGTTTTCCATAATTGTTCATATGATTGTTCATTGATATTAAGAAGAATATCGATAATAACTTGGGAGGAAGTTTTATATGATATGTTAAAGTTTTGAACTGTTGATATGAGTGACTTTGAAATAAGTCTTTTGAGAGTAAGATTAGAATAAAATGTGTTAGGTAAAATGTATAAGAGGTTAAGAGCTAGATGATAAAGAATTTTATGATTTAAATCGTTTTTTTTGATAATTATCGAGATTAGATAATTTGCTGGAATAATTGATTGGTAGATGTTTGAAAGATTTGGTTAAGCAAAAGTGTATTAGCAGGATAATGTTAAATTTGTTTTGTACACAGATGCATCATATCTTGCTCTTGATGCTATTTTATCTTAGCCTGTAATAAAGAACTTGAAAGTGTTATGAAGTATACTAGTTGATCAATAAAGCCTGCTAAATAAAATTATACAATAACTGAATTAGAGTGTACTACTATCATGTGGTCTGTAAATAAGTTTTACTAATACCTTCATAGATCCCAATTTATAATAATGACTGATCATACTGCTTTGACCTAACTCAACAATATAGCTAACCCAACTAATAGGATGGCAAGATATATTATAACTCTTCAGAGCTATGATTTTGTGATGAAGTACTAATCTAAGAGGCAACTGGGAAGCTTCAATAGGCTGTCACAAGTAGAGGAGTTTAAATAAAAATATATATATATAAAGCAAAAAAAAAATAAAAATAAAAAATATAATAAATATATATAAAATAATAAACATAATCTTAATAATAATATATTTGCAAAATAATATAAACATAGTAGTTAAGGAGGTATATGTTATTTTACCAACAATCAATTTACTAACATTCTATTTTACTAACAATTAATTTGCTGACAAGTTTATTTCACTGACAACTATTTCACTAACAGCCTATTTTACTGACTAGGTTTTTTTTAAAGTTGTACTAATATTAACTTTAATTCCAACTGGCTCTAATAAAAATGACCAAAATTACTTTGTTGATAAAATAACTATTAGTGAAATAACTGTTAGTTAAATAAGCTTGTTAGTGAATTGACTGTCATTAAAATAGGCTGTCATTGAAGTAATTGTTATGAAATAGCACCACCCATTAAGAGTTAGCTACAACATTTATGCACAGGGTCTGTGCTGCATAAATCAATGTTTGGTTTAAAATACTAACATTACAGACTGCAGAATAATATAACAACAAAAAAAGATACAAAAACAAATCAAAGAGAACCAACCCCATACAAGTACTCTTGAGCTAGCTATCTTAAGGTGAATTGAATCTACTATCCAAAAACTGCTTTTAATTAACTATAAGTAGATCCTTAATCTAAATCCATAATCTAGTTTAGGTAATAATGTCCTAGTATATAAAAAAAAAACTGACAACCTAAACAAATTCTTAAGATGAAATCCAAAGATTATATTAACCTAATTCAATATTTGACTAAGTTAGAACTATCAAGAGAATACTTAAAGAAGCAAAACCAAAAGTTGAAAAATCAGTCCAAATATTATGTTGTATAGAAAAAAGTGCTATATCAGAAGAACTATTGAAAGCCTGATCAACTTTTGAGGGTATTAAAGCATGTAAAAGTAGGGATAGTGCTAAGAAATTTATATGATGATTCTAGATCTGGCCATTTAGGAGAAGGAGCCACTATAGAAAAGATATAAAGGTGGTACTATTGAAGTTAAATAATAGAGAATATCAAGAATTATATACAGAATTGCAATATCTGTTAACATTGCAGAAAACCAAAACCATGAGAAGTGTTGTACCTGATACAAGTAACTCAACTATTTGACTAAGTAGGAATAGATATAGTAGAGCCTTTGCTTCTTACAAGAAATGATAACAGGCACCTTGTAATGGCAATAAAGTATTTAATAAAGTGGCCTAAGGTTTAAGCACTCTCTGACTGTATGGCAGAGTCTGATGCCACCTTTGTATTAGAGGATATAATTGGTTAGCATGGTTGTCTCTAACAGATTTTGACAAATTAAGAACCTACTTTAAGAACTAGATTATAAAGAAGGCTGGTATCAAGTATAAATTCTCAACCACATATTACCCACAGACCTATGGTCTCATTAAATAGTTCAATTAAACCATTTGTAAGGTGTTAATGAAGTATGTAAGTCAGTACCAGGGAGACTAAGATGATTATATAAGCTCTGCTCTATTTGCTTGCAAGACTACCAAGCATAGTATGACCAAATGTGATTCCTTTTATCTAATATATAGAAGAAAGGCTATGTTACCCATAAAACTACTGCTGAAAACCTGTTCTATAGCTTCTATAAATAATAATTATTATGAGTCAATGGTTTTAGCCCAAACTTTAAGGTTGGTAGATAAACTGTTTGAAGTCCAAATCAAGACATGTGTGAATATTCACAAGGCTTAGCAAAAGCAAAAGTGGTGCCATAACCAGCAGTACCCCTTGCAGAGTTTTGAAATTGGAAACAAAGTAATGAGATACTGGACAAAGCTGAAAAACAGTTGGGTAATAAATTGAAGAAAAAGTGGTCAAAATCATACTGGATGCATGATGTAATAGGTAATGGTACATATCAATTATATATGATGGGAAATAATGAAAAAGTAATAAAAAAAACAGTGCATGATAATTAATTAAAATGCTATAAAGCATGAAATAATGAAATAAGGTAATGGTAAAAATACAAAAAAAAATAAAAAATTAAAAAAAAATAGATGATATTTTGAAACTTTATGAAAAATAATCTACCAACTTGTAGACCAAATTAAACTCAATAAAGAGCTAGAAGTTAAGAAGAGAGAAGTGATCAGGACCAAGAGATTTATGAAGAGTTTAGAAAAATGGAAAAAAGAACCAAGGCTTAGCAAATCAATAACCATTTGGCTCTGTATCTTCAAGACCTGAAGACTGAACTTGCAATACCTATTAAGACTGCTAAATAAACCTAAAATAAAAAATTAAATAATATGTATAGTAACATTAAAGATCTAAATCCAAGAATCTAATCGATAGCTAAAGTGTTAAAAACTTACTACAAAGTAGAAAGCTTGCTGTTCAAAAAGGGTTGGGATAACAAGACATAAAAGAGTTGGCTGAGTGACTTCCATCCACCAAAGTAAAATTAGTATAGAAAATTGCAAAATAAGTAAATATGTTGCTTACTGTATAAAGTAAGTGGTATATGTATTAAGTTAAATATATATCAATTTTAGTGCTAGAACAAATATTAAAGAGATATTTTTCTAAGGTGATGTTGGCAGAAGCAAAGAGCTTAAGAGAAGAAAAAAGTTAAGAAATAGTGTAAGTTCACAGAAGCATACTCTTTGAGCAGAGAAAGATGTTATAAAAGCTCTGTACCTTTTCTTATTTTCTTTTGTTATCTGTTTGTATGTTTAAGTTAGTATAACATAGTAATAGAGTTTAAAACCTTATAAATAGTTTGCATACATAAGTTAGTATAGCATAATATTAATGTTTAAAATCTCAGTACAGAGTATAAAACTCTGTTGTCTTGTATATATTGTATAATTCATGGTTCAAAACTCTAGTATCAGGTTTGAGACTCTAATTAAAGTTTATAACCCTATTATAAGTCCAAAACTTCAGCAAAGAGTTTAAGACCCAATCTTTAAAATTTGTATAAATAGGATGTATATTCAATAAATAAAGAGATATTTTGAATAAGCAATAATAATAGACAACATAAACTGAGATTATACTAGTATATCTAAAGCAATAAGTGATATAGCCTAGTATTTGACTCTTAACTTCCATATTGCTATTTATAGACTGCAACCTGTTAGTATTAGACATATAACTTATAATGACCTACCAGTAATTTAACAACTAGGACCTTTTCAGACTAGTTTCATCAATTAGTTAGTAGCCAAGTTAAGGCCACATCTATGTTTATAGTACTGTGCTAAAATCAACAACATATAAGAAAGGCTCTTTCCAACTATAATAGTGTATTATGCTTTTTGGTCTTGCCAATAATTATTTGGTTATCATGAATAATGAGTAGCTAAGGCTTAGTATTAGAGGTAAAATGGCTAATAGAGTAGCAAAAGTAGTTTATGAAAGGTAAATTATAAAATTATATAGAGTGCATTGGTAAGAGTGCCTTGTAGTAATATTCTCAAAGATAGTAAATCATTGTAGTATAACACTTTTTGGAATTTTGTTAAGTCTGAGTAAAATGTGTTGCCAGTGTAGTAGAAATGAATTATTATAACTAGTAAGTTGGTTTAGAAAAAAAAGTTTATAATATTTGAGTTGTTTTTTGAAAATAGAATATTTTGAATGAGAAGAAAGAAAAGATTCAAGAAATATAGTTCTATTATTTAGAATGTATAGAATGTTGTAAATTGGGTTAGTTAAAAAAGTTTAGCTTATGTGTTTAATAAGTTGTATTATTTTGAAGTTTGTGGTTAAGCAATTGGGTCCATCAATGATTGGCTTAGGATGAAAAAAATATTAGTAGAAAACCAAAGATTGTTTTGAAGTTGTTAAATTCATATATAAGTAAATGTGCCTAGTAGGTCAAAATTGTTAAATTATTTGAAAAAATTGGAAATGTGGTGTTGTAGTTAAATATCTCAGATATGTTTAATGTTGTAGATTTAAGAATATAATAGAATACTAAATGGTATTGTACACCAAGTTTAGCTTTAAGCTTAACAAGACCAATGTGTTAGATAAAAATCTTGTTGAAATAAGTTGGTTAATAACAATATTGTATAAGTAGTATTTGATAGTAGAGATGATAACTGTATTGATAATGTAGCAGACATATAAATTAGTTATATGTTTTGTTTTTGCAATTTGAATAAGTTGAAAGAATTCAGAAATAATTAATTTTGTTTGTTTAGATTGCTGTTATCTAAAGTAAACTAGCAATCTAAAAATTTAAAAGATTATTTGAAAGAATAAAATAGAAGTAGATGATTATTATAAGAGATAGAAGTATAATAGAATAGAGAGTTATTAGTAATTAGAATAAATTTTAAAGGATTAACTTAAATGTTAGTCATAGCATAAAATGATTTAGCTATAGATAATATGTGAGATAACTCAGTTTGTAAGAAAGTAACTCAAAGAGTATTATCTATATTATTAGAACAGAGCATTGATTTTTGTAATAAATTAGTTGTTTAAAGTTTTAGATTAGTAGTCCAAGTAGATTGTAGAGTATATTCAGATACTTTTGAGTATATGTATGAAATAAGTGAATTATAGTAGATATACTATAATAAAGGTGTAATTATTTTACCTTGATCAATATTATTATAAACAGGTTAAGAGAAAGTAAGACCAAGATTGGTAATAACTTAGTTGTAATGATCAGTAAAGAGATCAGTAAGAATGTTAATAATGGATGAAGCAAGTGTAAAATGAGAGAGTGAATGTTTAAAAAAAGCAAAGTTTACAGAATCATATGCATTACTCATATTTTGTAAGAGTAACCAAATGTCTTTGTAATTGCAAATAGCATATTAAATAAGATTATTAAGAATATAAATAGAAATTGAAATAATATTATACCAGGAACGGAGTATGAAATACGAAGTGTATGGTTTTATGGCAAGTTAAGTGAAGTTCGCAATTCTGGGCATATGATTGGATGTTCCTACCTTGTGACTTTGCGTGTAACATGTGCATGCATTTGTGATGATGATCATTACCTAAATTTACCGTGCTACAATATTCGATTTATTGTGTGGCTTTTACATATACCAGGAACGGAGTTTGTACAACGTACAATGTGTGTATGGTTTACAGGCAAGTTAATGTGTCTGTGCGATTCTCAGCATATGATTGGGTAATCTGTCATCATAACTTTGTGTAGCACCCCAAACAATACTTTAAAAGGTAGGTACCAGGAACAAATGCCTCTGTACGCAAAATCTTGGAATTGATTGGTCCGTGTGACTTATTCATCATTCAATATTTTTTAAAAAAATATAAATGAGCGCGTACATATGTAAAATCGAAGATGCTATAACAAACGATAGTAAAAATAAGTTTTTTAGGCACAAAAATTAGTGTCCCAATACAAATGTAAAGGCCTCAATGCTAAATATTTGGTAATTTTCATTTTTTTTCTATCAACTGGAGGGAACATTGATGTTACACAATTGATTTTACACACAGTGTAAAACACAAAAAAATTTTTTTATGTATGTAAAATGATCGTCAAGGACTTAATCAAAAGAATTTGTCGATCATTTCTAAATACTGATATGTTTCGTAGATTTTTAATGTTTTTTGCAGGGCTCTAGAATTTTGAGTCAGATTCATCGGAACTGATTGATGCTAGCTAACCAACTATATAGCATTTAGACATTGCCTTCATTAATAGGTTTTTAGGCTCAGTCACTGAAATTCAAACCAATATTCAGATTGCAAGTACTATCAACTTCTTTTATAAAGAGTCATTTTCTTATACCAGGAATGGATTGCAATAAAGAATATGGTTTCCTGTGACTGAAATGGTGTCTGTGTAGATTTCTCCCATTCCTGGTTTCGCACGACAACGTTGCGCAGCTACTTATTAAAGAGTATGCAAAGTTACAAGTTGAAAAAATAAAGTTTGTAAATGTTTTCAATCAGACTAATAGGTCATGTAAGAATAAGATTACTATCAAAGGTGTTGCAGTTAAGAATAGAATAAATTCTACTATGTTTCTATTGTTTAGGAATTCTGTTGTCAAAAAGACAATGATTAAAAAAAACAATAATAGCAGAAGTGCATTGGGACTAATATGTTTAAGCATTTTATTACTAATGCTTGTAGAATTACAAACTTTGTTATTAGATAGTTGTGAGAGAGTTTAGAAAATTTTTTCATTAGTAATAGAAGAATTAAAAGAATAATACCAATTTGGTTGATATGAGAAAGTGAAAGATATTGTTTTTTTAGAAGTTATTAAAAAAGTTTTATTAATAGGTCTAAGTACAGTCCAATTATGAAAATAAGATTGAACATGTTGTTTAATAAGTAATAGATTAGTAATAAGTTAGTTTGGCAATTTTATATTTAAAAGATAAACAGGTTGATAATAGCAATTAAAGATGCTATTAATTGCCTAAGTAGGATGTGTTGTAAGAATAATATATTTTTTGTTAGTGCTTTATTAATTTGTTATTGAAATAGAAGAGAATTTTCAAAATAACATGTATAATAGAATTGTTTCCAAATAGAATGGCATGTTAAAGCCATAGTTGAATATAGGAGAAGTTGGTGAAAATAAGTAATTGAAGGTTACATTGTAACTGTTTATTAATTTGAAAAATGTTTTAGTAAATATTTGAGATGTTAGAAGATTAGATGAGTTTTTTAACAAATTTAATATATTTAAATTTTTTAAAAGAGAAATATAGTAGGGTACTATGGAATGAATATTGGTGATTGTAACTTCATTTACAAAAGATTTTGTTAGAGATTGTATAAATAGTAGTATAAATTATAGAGCATTGACTTTGTATTAAGTAGTTTTAATACTTTTATCAATAGTACTATTTTTGAGAGTTTTGTATAATAAAAGTTGTTGAGTTAAAGTATCAGCAAAAAAGTTTTAGTTTTTTGTAGTTATTGTTTTATAATTGAATATATGATGACTGATCCTAGTATGTTTTTATAAGGCTTTACTATAGGTATGTAGGAATGTTAAAGTAGAGGTAAAAATCAAGTGGTCACTTGAGATAGAGGTTTAACTGTTATTAAAACCATAGAAAAGAAGAAATTGTATATTAAATTGGTTAGTTCAAATGTAGTTAATACAACTACTGCTAGTATTGTTAGATCAAGTAAAATATTTTTTGTTAAAATAAACTCTAATGTCATACATATTGGAATAATTAAGAAAATTAATAAGTTTATATATAGAAAAGAAACTGTAAATATAATTCTGTATATTAAAATCACTAAGAATAATAGAATGAAAGTGAAGTTAGGAAGCTTGTTGAATCTAGTTAATTACTGTGTTTTGGATTTAGTTATAAATAGTATGACAGATAAATAGTGAGTCTGTTGCTTTACTTAACAAGACATTGCATACTATTGTATTTTAGTATAACAAGGCTTTGAGACATAGATTAATTTGAA